GTGTGCATTTACAATCAGGAATTACATTCTCATCCGTCTCTTTAAAAAAAACGCTTCCATCAGTGAGCGAACGAAAGGCACCTGCCAGTCTGCAAAATTCAGTCGGAACAAATTTAACAACGTCGTCGAGCTGGAGGTTTTCCACAAAGCTGCTCAAAAGGGTGGTGAGACAGGCGGCTGAAGGTGCCTCGGGCCACACGGGTGGGACAGACGTCTTTCATCCGTGCAGATGGTCCTGCCTGCCCCAGGGAGCGTGTGAGTGCCCTCCATCTTGGGGCAGGAAGTGGTGGAGACGGGAAGAGATTTTGGGCTCGGTGGTGTTTTGCTGGCGTGCGCTTGTCGCAGGTGCCCAAATGTCCGGCCGCGGAGGGGTTAATTCCCCGTCCCTGGCACAGCGCCCTGATGGATGGGTCGGCATTTTCAAGCCGTGACCTTTAGTGAGAGGCATTTGGCTGGAATGCATCCCCAGGAATCTCACGCAGGCTGTGGCGATGCATGTGCTGGAAGAGGGAGGCCCATGGTGCCAACAGGCGGGGAGGGCAAATGCGGTGGGAGGGGAAGAGTAATGGATGCAGGAAGTGGACCTCATTACGGCCTCTGTCCATTCATCTGAAAAATAAAAAAGGCCTTCCGCCCATAATATATTCCTCCAGCTAGGCATACTCCCAGTTTTAACGAATTTTTGATTTATTTTCCCAAGGCATGTCCATCCTGCCTTCCTATTGTGCAAGATGTTCAAGGTCAGCGTTTATAATGAAGCTTTCTTTCTCGCCCACCCTCGCCGGCACAGCCCTCATTCAGCCCCCTTTCTTGGGCTGTCACCCCGGGGCAACGTGCTGCCACGCCACCGGCTGAAAGCTCTCGGGAAAGTCGCTCGGTCCGGCTTTCGTGGCAGCGCAGCCCTTCCCAGGCAGTGGGGTGCTGTCTGAATACTCCCCACGTGCCAAAATCCCCTAGCGTATGGAAAAGCCCCCATGTCCAATGCAGTGAGTCTGCTCTTGTTTGCTTGTTGGCTTTGCAATGTGTGAATGGCCGTCCCCGGGTTTTGAGACCTTGCGGGGGACTCTGTGCCCTAACGGGTGCCTCAGGATTTGCACCAGACAGGTTGTAGCTTGGAAAGACGTGCGTCATTTGTGGCAGCTTTGAAGTCGCCTCCCTGCTTGTGTTATGAGTTCAGCGTGAGAGCTGGGAAAACAAAATAGCAAAGCTGGACATGAATGCATGCGATTAATTCTGTGAGGGGCACTTGGGCTCCCTGGCCTCAGAAGGGAGCAGTAGGGAGAGCCGTGTGGACAAGTCACCCTGCAGGCCCTTCCACCTCACCTGGTTTTGGGAGTTTAGCATCCCGGTGGAAATGCAGGAAGCAGTGCCTGGGAAGGCCGGCGTCAGGATGCAGTGCGGGCGTCGCGAGCGTCAGCAGAGCCGCTTCCTCCGGCACGAATGGTATTGTCCATCCGTCGCCCATCTGCGTGTGGGCAGGTGGGGAATTGGTGTGGGTGGTACGTAGGTGCCACGTGCCTTTCAGGAATCGCTGGAGATGGGGACAAAAAACCCTATGCATCCAAGCTCGAGGAGCGAGACGGTTCTTGTGCCTTTTATGGAGCTGCTTCTTCCGTAGGCGTATACGGGGCCTCTTGACGTATGCCTGTGTGATCCTTTGTCTCTGCACCTGTGAAATTTTGCTGAGCATTTGTTCACATCTCTGTTCATCCCACCACTGAGAGAGAGCTTTCTACACACACACACAGACACACACACGGAGGTCTTCCGTGCCAGAGCAGCGCTCAAGTTAGCTCTAGCCCGTGCTTCTTTCTAAGTGTCTAAAATCTTATGCGTCCCCAATCTTCTGTATGTTACAGTGCAAGCATATATCACCGTTATATAGTGATAGAATGGAATAGCAGAATCGGGGGGAGGGTGGAACCTATATGGAACAGCTTTTCCCCTAAAATGGAACATTTTGGAGAGTTGTTCCATTTGCTTAATTTACATAGTTTGCAGAGCTCGGAGCTTTTTAAATGCAGAATTTGGGTTGCCCTGCTGCAGAATTGTTAGGGTACTTTTAAAGTCCAGAGTAAACTTTCTCTGCTAATATGGGGGCAGTCAGGACAGCTGAGGGGGAAACACACGCAACCCCGAACCCTCGGCACGAGGCTTTGCACACTCCTCCTGTTCATGCCAGTGCGGCTTATGCGGGAGAATTTCCCAGGGGGCTGTGCTGCGTGGGCTAGACCCGCTTCCCCCTCCATCCCCAAAGCTGCCGTCATTTCTTGGCACCCACAATCCAAGGATTGCCTGAATCCTTGCAGTGCTGGCATGCAGATTCCCCTTCTCGCAGACATGCCTGTGGTCGCAGAGAGACGGATGCTGTCACAAGGCCAGGGGTTTCTGTACGAGTGTTGAGCATCTCGACCCGCAGCATGGCGTGCGTGGTGGTGCTGGTCTCCCCCCTGCAAGTGGAGTCTTCAGCAGGAGCACATGGACATCTTTCTTGCTGCCTGCCACACCTCCTGCCCTTCCTGATTTTTTATTTTTTTACACAACATTCATTTTTAACTAGGGGTGGTTGGGTGCTGGCTTGCTACAAATAAGACTTTTGGGGTTCAGTCCATGCTACTTTGTGTTGGGTTTTTGGCCAAGTCGCTCGTCTCCGAGCCTTATCCACTCATCTTCTGAGAAACGGGTGCCGGAGCAGAAACCCACGGGTTCAAACGAGAACATTTTTATGTTTTATCTCTTGGAACTCAGATCCACATTTGCTCCACGCTAAGTTCTTGGCAGATTCCTTCGCTTTTAGTCTCATCGGTTCACCTTCTGGGAAAGGAGGATGCTGTGACACTCGGACAAGTGTCCCCTGCAGCCATTTTGTGAGAGTGCTCACGACGCCTTGACATTCCAAATGCACCCACTAACCTAAAAAATGTCGGTACCCTCTGGAGAATGCAGTGCCTCGAGGACATTGCTAAGCAAAGCCGCTTGGTCAGGGAACACAAGGAGAGCCCGGCTGGATCAGCACTGCACTCAGGACCCCTCAGGCAGGATGGGTGCAAAGTCCCCTCCTGCACCAGCTCCTCTGGTAAGGAGGCAGGACTTTGCCAACAAGGCTGGTAGCCCGTGACCACCGCCCCCTCCTTCATGCATTTGCCCAGTCCCCCTTTAAAGCGATCCAAACTGGTGGCCACCCCCATGTGCAGGTGGTGAATTCCTGCATTTAACTCTCCTTTATGTTCATTCAGCGCCTGTCTTACAGTTAGAAGGATAAGGCAGCAGGGGCTGATTATGTGCTTCCCGAAGGAGGCAGCAGCCTCCGTGCCCCAGACCTTTCCCCCGTGCCTTGGGCCATTCTGGGCACCATCTCGCAGCCTGCTCTGAGCTGCCTCGCCGTCCCGCAGCCGAGCCGCCTGGAAGTGCGGACGTGGAACGTGGGGGGCCCGGGAGGGCTTCACTTGGTCTCGGATGGCCCCTGCCCCTGCCCTCCTCCAAGCCCACATCCCATGGAATATCCGGCACTGAGCCGATTACAATTACGCCCATGTTGTCTGTTTTTTTAAAGAAAAATTTATTTAGTTAATACGCTGGATAAGTATGGAATGCAAAGCTCAATTTATGTAAAGCTCGCATTGTGCAGGATTGTATGTTGCAGTTTAGTATGTCGCTCTTGGCATTTTTGTAGCACAGATAATACTCCTAAACTTTTGAATCGCATTCAGTCTATTAGCATTCGACTCGGACTAGTTGGCATTCATTTTGCACAGTGTTCGAGGCACTCTGTGGAAAAGACACGATACCAATCCTGACCTTGGGGCACTGAGTTTTCATGCCATATAAAAGAACCAATGTTTTTATCTGTTTGTGCATTGGCTTGAGCCCCTTCAGGCTGGAAAGGTGAATTGTAAGAGCTGGAAATAAATAAAAATAACCCCGCTACCCTCAGCAATGCAGCATTTAGCGAGGCTCCGCATCTCTCAGAAGAATGCAGTCAATCCTAGAAATGCGCACGCCAAGGTCTGCCTGGCCCCATATTCCCCATATACGCTTCCCAGTCCTCCCTTCACACAGCTTTAATGCCTGCATTTCTGGCAGGTATCCCCCCTCCCACCCGCCCCAAACATTTCACTGCTCACATTTTGTTTTATTAGCTCATGCATTACTTCAATATCCCTGTAATTTATGACTCTGTGGAATAATTGCTTTGTCTTTTGCAGAGGTATCATGTTATTGTTTCTCATCATTCAAAGGGCTGCTGGTTTCAAATCAGGAGACTTGGAGGGGATAAAAATGCCACCTACTGCTGCCCTCAGCAGCTTTGTGGGGCTCCCCCCCCCCCCCCGGGCATTGACCTATGTCACCCCAACCTTAGGGCAGAGCAAGGATGCCCCACCTGGAACCCTTCGGTCTGCAGCCCAGGCCCAGCGTCATGTATCCATCAGCCGAATTTCAACACTCCTCTGCATGTGGGCAGCAGGTCAGACCTCCATCCCTCCTCCGGCAGGAGGCCCTTCCCTGGGTAGCCACCCTCCTGATCTCCTTCAGCGAGGGCATCCGGAGAAGGGCCTCTGCCCCAGGTCTTAAGGGGTGGGCAGGCACACATGGAGGGCTTGTCTTTCAAATGATGCAGGGCTGCGCAGGACCCTGTTAGAAAGGCTTAGTCCTCACCATCATGAACGTTTAGAGTCTGTACGAGGGGCATGCCTCCCTGCTCAGCTCTGACCTAAGAGAAGGTAGTGTTGAGGACAGCGCTTTCTGCCCCAGGAGAGCGAACGGCCTTGCTCCCCAGCAGAGGAAAGCAGGACGCCTGCAGGCGATGGCACCGGCATCCTCGGGATGCAGGCGGCCGGCCGGCCTCTGATCTTAGGCGTAGTCTTTGAGTCGTCTCGCTGCCTCCCCACATTGTCAACCAGGGTCTCCAGGCGAATCCGAGCATGCACTCAGCCCGCCAGGCTCTTGCTTCCTGGGGGCACTGCTGGTAACCCGCCCTCTCCTCTTCCTCCCTGCGCTAGCCAGAGCTCAGGAGGTCCAAGCCGAGAATGTGACGGTGGTGGAGGGTGGCCAGGCTGAGATCAACTGCAAGCTGCACCAGTACGACGGCTCCATAGTGGTGATCCAGAACCCATCCCGCCAGACGCTCTTCTTCAATGGCACGCGGGGTAGGTAACCGCTGCAGGGACTGGGGGGCCCAAGGTGGCGTGCAGGAATGGGTGTGGGGCCCATGTTTGAGGCAGAGTCCGCCAGAGGTGCCACCCCCTCCAAATGGGCATGCCCGCCAGCTGAGCCACGCACCCTCCAGGGCCCTCTAATGGTCAGACAGATTGTAACTTGAGCATTTGCAGGCAGCGGTCACCCTGTAGAGTGGGCGAGAGAGCCAGGCCGAGAGTACCAAGGCAGAGCTAGTGTGCCTTCACTTGCTCACTCGGACACACAGACTCAGTCCCACTGTCGAGTCCTTGGCCAGTCTGACCTTGGTAGCAGGGAATCCCAGCTAGTCCATTCTGGCTCCTTCCAGATGTGCCAGGCTGCAATTCCGGCAGGTCCCAGCCAGCGTGGCCGTTGGCCATTATGGGAGCTGTGACCCGGCAGTTCTGGAAGGTGCCAGACTGGACGAAGCTGAGTTAAACTCTGATCATAAGAATACTGTATTCCTAGTCCAGGCCTGACTCCAGAATTGTCGCAGCCCAAAGGGAAAAGCCCAAATGGCACTCTCTGTGCTAAATATATCTCCGCAGACCCAAATATGCCAGTCTGAAGGAGCTTTCTCACTTTGCCTATTGACAGAGACGGGCCTGTCTGAGCTGCTGCTAAGAAAAGAGCATAGATTACAATTCTAAGCTCACCCGGGGTTCCTTCTCAAGCTGCGTCAGTCCCTTAGGCCTGAAAAGAAAGAACCGTCCAGATCCCAGGTGGATGGGGGGGCTGATGAAGAGCCGAGGCCTCATTTCCTCTGCCTCCTTACAGCCCTCAAAGACGAGCGTTTTCAGTTGGTGGAGTTCACCCAGAAGCAGGTCCGCATTGTCCTCTCCAACGCCCGTCTAGATGACGAAGGTGGCTATTTCTGTCAGCTGTATACAGAAGACACGCACCACCAGATTGCCATCCTGACCGTCCTGGGTATGTGCGGCTCACCCCCGGGCCAGGACGCCCTCCCCACCCTTTGAGTTGGTGATGGGAACTGGAGTGCCCAGGGGTTCGATCACGGAGGCCTGCGAGAGCAGTCTTTAGGGATTTCCTGAGCTGGAATGGAATTGGCTGCGGGGCGGGGGGGGGGGTCCTTTGTTTTAAGGATCCTAAGCTGGAAAGGGTGAAACCTGAAACCCTGCCGCTCCTTGCCAACGTTGTCTTCTGTTTAACTCTACCTCCGTAGTCAAAGGTTTTTGTTCAGCTTGAGGGCTAGGAACTTGTTTTTTGCTTTTAAAAAATGTCGTGGCATTTCAACCTTGTGAAAGCCAGGAACGCATAGAGAGCTTCACCTGAAAACCTCTCTGGCCCTGCCAGTGGGACCCTGCGTGCATGTCTGGCTGCCTTGGAGGTTTATTTGGGTACTTTTGTGAATGCAACTAGGGTGGCTGCGGCGCTGAACAGTAAGCAGGGCACTGCCTGCCTCGTCACCTGCCTTTTCCTTGCAGTGCCTCCTGAAAACCCACTGGTGGAGGTAAAAGAGCAAGCCGTGGAAGGGGGAGAAATCGAACTCACCTGCACTGTTCCCAGATCGCGCCCCGCGGCCACCCTGCGCTGGTACCGGGACCGAAGAGAGCTTAAAGGTGAGACTCCCAGGGAAGTGGGTTCCAGGGGCTTTTCAGCATCTGCTGGGGCAGTACCTTAGGCCTGGGGGTTTCCCGGACAGGCACGCTTCCAGCCCCCGCTTGTTTGGTGGTCCCCTGGCTTTTCTGCACCTCCCCTTTCCCCCCGCAGCATTCACAGCTGAACTGCCTTGACTGAGCCTTAGTTACTCATCTCATCAAAGATTTAAGCTCCTACATGCGGGTATTTCTGGCATTTTGGCCCCCTCCTCTTTTTCCCTCGGAGCCACCCACCACTCGATCGCAGCCCCTGGGAGCTCCTCCAAAGTGTGATCCAATTTCGGGCCTGCAGGCGGTTCCGTATTCCAGTTGCAGGAGTCGGTGTCAGCCCCAATGGGCTTCATAGCTGGGGCCATCCAGGGGCTGGAATGCAAGGTTGCTCCCCTCTAGGGGGTCCTGACCGTATCAGCACGGGGCAGACGGCACGGAGCACTTCTCTCACAGGGGCCGCTGTCTCCGGATCTGTAAGATGACGGCGGCTGGATCCGTGTGCCCCCTGCGCCATTTTGCCCTGCAGCAGATGCTCCTCCTGGGGGGTCCTTTAGACCTGCACATGGAGTGCTGAGTTTCCTGGCTGTGAGGAGGGGGGTTCCTAGCTAAAGCTGGAGACAAGCAGGTGGGATGTCCTTCGTGTGTCTCCTTCCAGTACACGGCATGGAACATTGCAAATGTGTGTAATTTGAAAAGTGGAAAGGAAAGGAAAGGGAAAAAGAGCCCCGTAGCAAGGCGGGCCTTCTTAATTCAGCTTTCGGGGGAGTTTTTCGGCGCTCGGTGGGGATGATCAGGCCGGGGCGCCTCTGTGTGTTCCAGGAATCAGAAGCACCAAGGAGGAGAACGGGAAGGTGTTCAGCATCACCAGCGTGGTGCGCTTCCGAGTGGAACGCAAGGACCACAGCGGCATCGTGACGTGCGAGGCCACGCACCCGGCGCTGCACGGGCAGCGGAAGCAGACGCAGTACGTGCTAGATGTGCAGTGTAAGTGACCTCGGGGGCCGCGCTGGCGGGGCAGGAGCGGTGGACGGGCGCTGGACGCGTCGCGGGGGGGCCGAGGCGCAGTGCCAGGTTGCGTTCCGCGGGACACTCCCCGCCTCTCGAATGGGCTGGCCAAAGGTTGCCCCTGGGCCACTGCGTGCACCTGCAGGGAAGGAGGCCCTGCGAGGAGATGTGACTCTGCGGGTGATGCTGGCGGCCCGGCGGCTCTTCTCGGCCGGAGAGGGGCTGTGGCTCCGTGGAAGAGCCCCCGCCTCGCACGCCAAGGGTCTCTGGCTCCATCCTCGGCATCTCAGGCAGGGCTGGAACATTCCTGGCCGAAGCCTCCCGCAGAGCCGCAGTTCGGCCGGAAGGAGCAGCGAGCTGACTCAGCGCGAGGCAGCTGCTTCCATACCGGTGGCCGGCCGGCCCTTTCCGTGTGCCCCACAGCCCAGTTCTCCAGCCAAGCCGGCTGTCGTGCCGAGAGGGGCAGAGGCCAAGGAGAGCCACACTCCTGGGAAACGTGTGCCGTTCCAGATGTTAGTGGCCTGCACCTCCCCTAGGCCCTGCTTAGTGTGAGGGATGGTGGAGAACATCTGGATGGCTGCACAGTCCCCGTCCCTGCTCTGCACAGGGAGGCTTAATGAGAAGCTTGCCTTCCGAATCGCTGCAGCTACTTCATCCTGTGTGGTACATGCCACAGCGCTGAGCATTCCCCCGTGTTGCTGATAATTATCAGTTTGTGATTATACACTGCTTTATTTGACTGTTGTTTGCTTAGCATTAAGAACAGCAGTTGAACAGCAATGGATTTTTTATTTATTTGGAAATATTTGTATCCCGCCTTTTTGCCTGCCAGTTGGTTCCCCAAGGAAGCTGAAAGGAGTGAAAACTAATGCAGGATAAACATAATAAGTTTTTTTTGTGTGGGCAATGAAATCTCCGAGGGGACAGAGATGTAAAAAGGCCGTTCCCCAGCCTTTAGTTTAGGAATCTTGCCAGTAAATAAATAAAAAATAAATAAATGGCCACTGCACATAGTAAAACTGGCATGTGAGAGAGAAACTGAACTCCCTCTTTTCTCTGATGTGCTGGTTTTATTACATAATGAAAGGGAATCTCTCTTGCTCTCTTCCTCGCTTTCTCTCTCTCTCTCCCCCCGCCCTTCACACATGCATGCAAGCATGGATAGCATGGCCCCAAATTCAAAACATAAGAGCCCAAGAACAGTGCAAGGATCAGACCAGCCCATTCAGCCCACTTAATGTGCCGTCCGGCTTAGCCAGGATCCCCTGGAAGGAGCGCCAGCAGCACGTGCAGGTGGCAGCCCCGTCTCAGCCGTGGGCGCGCAGAAGCGGGCTGCCTCTGATCCTGGCGGCAGTGCTGGGACAGCTGTCCGCCGATCGCCTTATCCTCTGTTCTACCCTGCAGTGCAGTTCTCAGCCAACCTGCCTCCCCCCGAGAAAAGCCCCCTGGAGTCGCTCCTCCTTCCCTACCTGCCTGCTTGCTCGGGCCCAGGTGCCCTTTGCCGGCTTCCTGCCTTCCCAGCAAGCAGGTGGCGGCAGCGATGAAAAGCAGAACGAGCAGCTGGTGGCAAAGCGAGCGAGAAGACCCACCGTGCCGGGTCATGCAAGAGGGCCTGTTTCCCCCTCGCGATCGTGCGAAAGCAGTTGCTAAGAGAAAGGGTCCGTGAGGGATGCCGGCCCGAAGAGCCCTGGAAAACAAGGCACTGACTCCCGCTCTTGGGTCTGCCTGGATTTCTGCCTCTGGAGTATTACATTTTACATAACGGAGCACAGAGAGAGCAGGCTCTCCGACAGACTCGTTCCATTTAAGATTTCAGTCCTGAGGAATGCATATAGTTGGGTAGCGACCGTAGCTTTTTATTCATCTCATGTTTACTTTCTGTTCCTGGTTAATAAAAAGATACACAGGGAAATAGTCCCAGGATTCCTTCCGAATCCAAGTCACTGCTTTGCTATTCTAGAGCGGTGACCCTTAGGAAGGAAAAGACGGCAAAGTTATACACACACAAGCTGAATTATTTAAAACCTTAACTTTCAGATTGTGATTGCTCATGTCTCCGAAGGAAGCGTGTTGTTTTTATGGGGTTGCAAATTACCCTCCCTCGCTCGAGAAGTAAAGTTGTTTGTTTGCAGGCTGCTCTGTGGCATCCCGTTGATTCTGTCTCTCTCTGCCCTGTCTCCCCAGACTCGCCCACCGCAAGGATCCATCCACCCCAGGGGGTGATGCGGGAAGGAGACACTTTGGTCCTGACTTGTGCCGTCAACGGCAACCCACTGTGAGTACTTCCGCAGGACGGGGAAAAGCATAATTAGAACGGTTGGTTGGTGGGAGCGGGAGACATTTCGCATCGGGTTCCTTGCAGATCCTGAGATCTATTTTTGTTGCTTCGCTTTGAAGGGCAGCATATGATCATGGCTGTCTGCATCCTCCCCTCTAACAAGAGCTATGAATTAAAAGTACAAATTTGGCACCAGGAAAAGCGAAATTTTGTAATCCAAACAAAAGCTGCAGATCAGATGTTTTTCCATGGTTTTCATGTTGAATGTACTGATTATTTGACTGCATTGGGATCCATCTTTGTAATTCTAAAAATGATTGTGCCTTTATGCAACCATCATCCACTGAGACCCTCCTCTGAGGGCGGTTAGAGGATGGCACATCCTTCCTAGTGGTGGCCCCATGATTGTGGAACACTCTCCCCAGTAAAACCTGCCCGGTGCCAACATTGTCATCCTTTCAGCAGTGGGTTAAAATTTTCCATTTACTCCCAGGTGTTGGATGGCACATGGAAAGGACTTTCAAAGGGTCCAGAGTAGACTTGGCTGGCTGTTTAAAAATAGGTGTTACATTTTTACATGGTTTTGTATTATGGTGCCACATTGCAAAAACCCCGGGGAAATTGCGGGAAGATGGGAGTGGGGAAGATGAAGAGCCTGACACTCGCTGTGCCTGCTTGCACTTAAGCACAGAGGCATTTGAACCGCAGCGCAGGGCCCAGTTCCCAAGGGGACTAACCTGTGGGGAAACCCAGCCCCTTATCACTGGGTTGCTCCAGCCCTGGATGGAGCCTCCCTCAGCCACCCTGAGTGCTAATTTTTGGTTGAAAGGTGAAGAAGAGTAATAAGTCTTCACACACCTTCCCCTCATTGCTCTTGTGTGTGTGTGTGTTTTTTTTTTTAAATCCTGGGGGAAAGAGAGAGAAAGGATGGCAGCAAGTGGACAGCTGAGGGTGTGGGTGTTCAAGCGGAGTGGTGTCTGCTCCACTTCTCCTTTCAACAGCTTGAGCAGAGGTTAGATTTCTTGAATTTCAGAATTCACCTGCTTGAATTCTTGCTCCCGTGCTTGATGTGTGCTGCATCGTAGAATGGGGACGGGCAGCCGTTAGCCTTGCAGGATCTTTGTCATTCCTTGTTCGCTACCTCCTGGAGGTCTGTCCGTTGAAGCCAGGTGCAAAATGGCTTTGGGGGCAGAGCCAGGTGTGTCATGCAAGTTTGGGGCAGCGGGGAGTAGAACCAGTTTCCTGTTGCATCCAAAGAGTGATACCCTGGGGTGGCCCACATACAAAACTCCAAATCTACATCTGAATGACTTCTGTTCATGGGTTCTGTCAGCCCAGTTTGGGGTTCGGTGCCTCTCTGTTACTGCTAAAGAACCGTGAGCTGGAATGCTTACTGAACCTGTACAAATCCCTACAGCAAAATGTCCTTTAAAATGGTTTATTTAATCAATCGATCAATCGATCAATCAGTCCTTACACTGCTTACTGTATCCGAGCAAGCATCACAAAGTGATTTACAATACAAGATGAAGATACAAAGCACCCTTCGTTAAAACGTTTAAATCAGAAAATGCACAAAGCCTTCTGAGTTAAAACATTTAACTCCCACCTGCCCCCCAAACAACTGCCAAAGTAGATCTCGCGCTGGCCCTGGACCAGCCTTTCTTCCAGTGACGGGGCGTGTGGTGCGCAGGCAGGAACGAGATGACAGTTTGCTCGGAGAGTGACAGTTTGGAAGAGGAATTGCCGCTTGTGGCCGCACACCACATCCCACTTCCAGGAACCAGGCTTGGCTGTAATTTCCAAAGACGGGCGAAACCTGCTTGCCCAAGGGCAGCCCTCGACCAAAGGGAGCTGCCCGACTCTGGGAAGGAAAGCCTCGCCCGTGTGCCCCAGAAGTGGGTCTGTCGTCAGCCACAGTCCTTGCACTGAACGGATGCGAAGGAGAAGAGGGGTCTAATTCTGAGGACGCGTGTTGGGCCAGGGGGCATCTGGCAGCCCCTCTTCCTCTCATCGCGGCCGCCGCCGCCCCCTTACGGGCCCAGCTCCTCGAGACAAGAGTCCCCGGCCCCGTCCTCTGCCGGTTGCGTCTCTCGGCCCTGCCGGCTGGGCAGATTGTCCTTGCTCGCTCTACCTCTCTCCCTGACGGATGGATACAATTCCCGAGCGGAGTTATTACCCGAGCGCCCCTTGATCCAGCGGCCCGGCGTCGTGCGCCATCCATCACCCGTACTGGCAGCGCCGGCTGAAAATAACCTTGAAGGGAAGGGAGCTGTCGCCGTGACGGGAAGGCAGGGAGGGCGCCATGCCGCCCGTGCGACCAGCAGAGGGCGCCAGAGACGGGGGCCGGGGGCAGAGGGAGAGGGCTCACCCCGGCCGGCCTTTTTGTCCCCAGCCCCACGGATATCAAGTGGAGCCGAGCAAACGACTCGTTGCCTGAGCGGGCCCTGATCGAGGGCGAGGTGCTGACCATCTCCAGCCTCAGCATGCTGGACAACGGCACCTACTCCTGCCAGGTGGCCAACAAGCATGGCCGCTCGTCGGACCAGTACGTGCTGGTGGTTTACGGTAAGCAAGCCTGGCCCGCCGGCGCTCTGCGGCATCCGCGCTCGGCTCTGCCTGTGCCCCGGCGCCGCTCGTGGCTCCCCCTGCAGCCCTGTGGCCGCTCTGCTCCCGAGGACGCTCGCCGTCCCAGCCGTGCACTGCAAGGAGCGGGCAGGCAAGCCAGTGTTTCTGGACTGCCCCACTGTGGAACAGTGGAGTGCCCCACACGTCCCCTGCCCCTCAGAATAAAACTCCTGCACATGCAGTCCTAGAGTAGCAGCGTCAGAAGGGGCCCGAGGGCCATCAGGTGCACCCCACTGCGCAGTGCAGGACTCCCACTCAAACCACCCCTCAGTGGCTGCCCCCTGCCTCCTGACTGCCCCCAGGGTGGGGGAGCCCAGACCCCCCCCCCCCCAGGGCATGGGGTTGCCTGGGAAAACCGACAGGACATAGAAAATGCTCGGCTAAAACCTTTCCTACATTCAGGTGGACATTCCATCATGGTCGCTCTCGGTCATGGATTGTGCCACCTGGGCCACATCCGCCCCGCACTGTCCAGACTGGATGGTTCACGTTGAGCCCCTGCAGCTTGGGCACCGCCCATCTTTTGGGTCACAGGCTCCAGGGAGGGCTAGGAAAGAAGCCCCGTGGATGGCAGCTCCTTCTGGGGCCCCTGCTAAGCAAGAAGCGGCTTGCTTTCCTCCTGCCAGGAGGGGAGCCATAAACAGGCCAGGCCGAGCCCCTTCACGCACTAGGCCTTTGTCTCTTGCAGACCCCGGGGCTATCGTGGAGGCCCAGACTTCGGTGCCCTACGCCATCGTCGGGGGCATCCTGGCGCTGCTGGTCTTCCTCGTCATCTGTGTGCTGATAGTCATGGTGTGGTGCTCCATTCGGCAGAAAGGTCAGCGGCTGGACCCGCCAGCGGCAGGGCGCGGGCACAAGGGAGAGGCCCGGGGCGGCTGGCAGGGCGTCTCTGGCTAGAAACAGGAACGCCGCGTCCCTCACCGTGGCACTGAATTCTTGAGCAGCCTGGCTTTTCTTCCCTCAGGTTGTAGGCGTGTGTTTCTAAAAAGCCTGTTTCCACTTCTGGGTTGAAATGAGAGGCGGGCGGCTGGGAAGCCTTGGGGTGAAGCCTTGGGGGTGACACTTGAGGGGAGCTTGTCCCCGCAGCCAGCCTGTGTCTTTCCCCAAGTCTCCCCTTAGGACGGGAGCGGAAGGACTTCACAGGCCCCGCTGGTCACTCGGTGCTGGTGCAAGCGCTGGGGACGGGGCTCCTGCTCAGTCCTCTGGATGAACCGCCTGCTCCTCGCTGCCTCCTCCTCACTCTGTTTATTTACAGCCACTGTGAATCTTTTCAGAGGCGCAGCGTGCCAGAAGGTAGGAGCCCTGGATCGGGGCTTGGCGATGCCAGTCCTCCCTCGGAACTGATGCTCCCGGGGTGACTTTGGGCCCGTCGTGGAATCTCAGCTCACCCTGCCTCACACAACTGTTGTTCAGAGGATGAGGCAGGAGGTGTGTAAGCTGCCTTGCCTTCCTTGCAGGAAAAGTGTGGTATATAAATATTGATTGATCTGAGCTCCGTCCGACCTTTCTTCTTTTCAATACAGCAAAGTGGCTTGCATAATTTTCTTCCTCCTGCTCTCAGTCTTATCCCCACGACAACAACCCTGTGAGGTAGGCTGGGCTGAGAGTCTGTGGCTGGCCAGAGGTCACCCAGTGGGCTCCGTGGCCGAGCGGGGACTAGAACCCAGATCGCCAGAGTCCCGGTCCTGTGCTCTTAACCAGCACTCCACACCGGCCACCTAAACATATAAGTTACAGAAGATGGCTTTGGGGGAAGTTCTGCTTTTAACGACCCTACGGTGCTTCCACAGGGCTTATAGCCTGGGTGTCTTTTCGCCCTTCCGGGGAGCCCCTCTTCTGCGCTTCGGAATCATAGTTCTTGCTTGCAGTGCCTTGGCAAGACTCAACAGGCCTATAGAATGACACAAGGTTTCCCAGTCTAGAAGCGCTCCTGCGTCTGCGTCTGCAGGCATCACGGACGCTCTCGACCCTGAAAGCGCATGCCGTGAGCAAGAGCGAGAGCAAGGTCTGCCAGTGCCTCCTTGGCTCTCTCCGTCCCTCTCAGTGGAATAATTTTCCATTGTTCCCATGGAGCTCACGGGGATGATTCTGGATATGGCAGCATTCAAGAGCCCAGGGCTGGTGGGTCCGGCGTGCTAGTGAAAGGCCTGCCGACAGATGGGGGGGGGGGGGGGGGTACAGAGCCCCACGCTTCCCTCATTCCAGGAGGGAGTGGGGAAAGAAGGAAGTGCTCCTGGTCTGCCTCTACGGGCTCCTGGGTCAGCCGAGGGCCCGGTTCGGCCCCCGTGGCCCTGCGGATTGCAGCCCGCTGACCTGGGTGCCCTGTGGGAGCCATGGGGCACCCGGCTTGCTCCTGGGGTTTGTTCTCGGTCGCGGGAGAGGGTGTGGGAGCTGGCTTTGCGCTGACCGGCTGTGCACCGGAGTGGCTCCGGCTCCAGCTGGGTGGCGAGAACACATTTGTGGGTCGATGGTGTGTGTGCAAGGAGTGGGGACGGGTTTCTTCTGGGGGGCTCGGTGCCCGCTCCCCGTTTATGCCCCCCGCTCTGTTTTTTTTCACAGGCTCCTACCTGACGCATGAGGCCAGTGGTCTGGATGAACACGGGGAAGCCCGCGAGGCCTTTCTTAACGGTGGCGATGGCCATAAACGCAAGGAAGAGTTCTTCATCTAAGCCTGGGGGGGAGCGGGGGGAGCGGGGAGCGGGAATGGGAGCGGGAAGGGGGTTTGGGGGCGGAATGTTGGGGGACGCGGAGGGGGAGCGCCGATCGGAGGAGAGGTTGACAGGAGAAGCTGCCGCTCTGGCTGGGGTGGGGGAGGGATGGATACGAAAAACCGGACAAAAACGAAGCAAACATGCTCGAAAGAATACAAACTCCATTGTATGAAGAACGACACCCGGCTGCCACTTCCTCGGTTTTGTTTTGGAAACCGATGACTTGAGCGCTGCCCCAGCCACGAAGCTCCTGCCATGCACCCCCACCTCGCGCTCGCGTCGGAGTCGGATCCCGAGAAATCTGGGGAGGGTGAATGTGCGCACGGCTCTGCGTCGGTGGAACGGCCACCCCCGTTTCCCTTGGGGAGCGGCAGAGCAGCGGGGGGGTGGGTCTCTTTGTAAATAGCCTGGCAGTGGCCCTGTGGGAGGGGGGGAGCCGGGAGTCGCTGGCGGACCACCGCTGCGATGATCGCGGGGGGCTGGTAGGTGCGTGGCGGGGAACAGCTTTGCGGGAAAGGGCCGACCCTCGGAGCCGCTGTGGCTTGTTAGCCTCGGGTTTTCTCAGATATTAGCACTGAGTCTCGAAATATCTGGGGAAGGAGATGGGGCTAGCAATTTTGCTCCAGGGAGCAGCCCTCCCCAAGGGCTGGCTGGGAGACGGTGGGGCGGGCGGGACGGTGTGCCAGGCGGGACCCCTCAGGTCTGTTTCCAGCGTTCAGGAGGGAGCCAAATGGGGCAAGCTACGTGTCCGGGGCGCTGAGGCCGCGAGTCCCCGGGGCGTCCCGAGTTCTCTTTGGGGCGCCCGCTGCGGCACCCCTTCAGCCGTGTGACCCCCCCCCCCCGTGAGGCCGGGCCATGCCAGCCGCGTTGGGCCTTAAGAAGCAGGTTGGATTCTCTTTATTTTTTTCCTTGAAAGCCATGATGGTGAGGGGAGGGGGGAGGGGAGGGGGGAGCGGAAGGGGTCTGTGTCTGTCTGTGTCCTTGTTACGTGACGTGCTCAGCCAGGGCAGGGGTGGGGGCGCCGAGACCATCAGAGCGTCTGGCCCCCGTCCCGCGCGTGCGGTTTGCCTGGCCCAAGGCCCCGTGTCCGTGGAGGGGGGAGGCCATCCTGGGTGCCTCTGCGGAGCCAGACCGGCCAGTGCAGGTGGCCTGGGGGGGTGTCCCCTCGTCCTCGCTCCCGTTGCGCAGGTGGTAATGTTACACCATCCCATCCTGTCCCCAGCGCCTGATCAAAGCACCCTGGGGGTCGCTCACCCACCCCGGCCCTCCTTCCTTTCTGCTCAGTTGCCCCCAGATGCCACGGGGGGGGGGATTTCCCCAGAGGGCAGAAGAGGCGGCTCAGCAATACGCACCCCTCACTCAGCCCCCCTTTTGATCCTCTCTGGATGACCTTCGCCTCCCGAGATGCCTCCATCGCAACATCTGGAAAAGCAGCCGCTGTCGTGAATGGCAGCTGCCCTGCACAGCTGGGGACAGACGGCCCCGGGCAGCTGCTGAGGGGGTATCGGAGGGACTCACGCTGCCCCAGAGGAACCAGCTCCCCCACCCTCGGCCCCCCGGCTCTTTCTGACCTCTCCAGCTTCTCCCATTTGTGCCAGTCGGTGCCCACTTCTCACCCCCTCCATGCCCCCCCTTCTGAAATCTCCAAGCCCGTTCCCTCCGTCTTTCGTCTGGGGAAAAAAGAAACCCGACAAAACAGAAGGAAGAAACTGACGTGTGATTCTGTGTCCGTCTCTGGCTCGCCGTTTTTATTTTATATTGTTTGTGTCTTGGAAGGGGAGATTAAAAAAATGGAAAATATAATAATTAATATATAACTGGGGGTCGGGAGTGTGCGGGGGACTTGTTCCTCTGCAGCCCGAGACTGTTTCCCCGGTGCCCGAAAGTTAATATATATGTAAATATCTATGTCTGCCTTTTAACCACCTTTGATACTTCAATAAATCCCCCTGATTAATTCTTTTAACACCAGTGGTTGTGGGATCCTTTTTCATGAGTCCCTGCTGGGTCGTGGAGCACCATCAGCTCCAACACATTTGGGGCCGGGGGGTCTTAGCTCTCTGCCCTCTACTCCCAGTGAAGGGATAAAGTACAGAAAGTAGCAGCTACCCGAAGAGGGGACCTAAACAAAAGCTTGGGGTGGGGGGAGTTATATGCCACCCTTCAAGCCCCAGAAACTGCAGCGACTGGGCGTCAAGGCTGCTTTCTCACATGGGGGGGGTGCAGTTGGAACTGATGGGGCTTAAACCCCTTCAAGGTAATCCTGAGTCCTTTGCATCACGCTATCTGTAGCAAATACTCTCTTTCCACCCTCAGAACGTCCTTGCAAAGCAAGCCATGGAAAGGGGGGCCAAGAACAGGCACGAGCTGCTGGTCGACTCTGGAGAGCGCACATCCATCTCGGTGCGGAGTGTACTGGGTTCCTTCAAAAGGTTGCTGCTGTTCCCATTTCACAGGTGGGAGAATTGAGTCAGAGTGCACAGCTTGTCCGGGACTGTGCCAGTGCCTGCACCGGAGTGTGTCTTGCGCTCTTACGCCAAGGTGAATCACGGTTGGAAGGGGCCTGGAAGGCCATCCGGTCCCACCCCCTGTTCAATGCACAGGTCAAGGTTCCCTTCCAAACACTAACCAGGCCTGCTTAGCTTCCAAGATGAGGCAGGATGAGGCACTTCAGGCTATATGGAAGCTCAATCCCATTCTGGCCTTGCAGTGGTGCCCATTTGGATCCCACCGGTCCTTTGAGGAGCTCAAGGAAGGCTCCCTTTTCCTCCTTCCCCTGCCCCTCACACGAGTTCGGTGGAAAGACAAGGGCTGCTTCCGCCTGCCCAGAGAGCTTCATGGCTGAGCAGGAATTTAAAACCTGCAATCCCTAAAGCAGCATTTGCGCCCAGGATTGGTCTGGGTCTGCCTCCTTGCGACAGGTCTCACCTGCGCCCCCCCCCCCCCCCGGAAACGTTCTCGCCTCCTGCGGGCATCCATGCCGCCCTCTGCTCCATTCGCACTCTTTTGCAGGGCCCATTTTAAGTCAGAAGCCCTTAATAAATGCGCCAAGCCCCCATTTCTACCGTACGAGCAGCCAGTATTCCAGCGCCTTTGCATATTTCCTGCTTCCCTTCCATTTCTCTCCTTCGCTCTCACTTTTATTACTCCACCGGGTCTCTGTACACGTCCCCATCTGTCATTCTGTACAAAACTCTCTTCTCGTGGAAAACATTTCAACTGGGAGCTACCAGTAAAAATATTTTAAAACAATCGCAGGATTGGGGAGGGGGCGGAATTTAATGTTCAACCAAATGGCATAAATTCCAGGTTTGCAGCTCTTTTCACTTGTGCTGTTCAAGTAGCTAGAGCGATGATCCCTGTAAAGGCAGCAGAACCAACAGCTCTGGTGTGCGCCCAAGTTCGTGATCTCTGGCATAAACTTCGCCTCCCTGGCCAGAGTCAGCCTAGAAGCCCTTCCGCAGGGTGTCCTCCATTTGGATTGCAGCTTCTCTTCTGTGTTCACCTTTCTGGATACCTCATAGGTCGTTTCTCTGACTGGCATAATATCCATGCTTTGTGGTGGAGGCAGATAAGCATTCTAGTGCAGCGAAAGCTTGCCGCATTGTGAGGGGTTTCTTTAGACAGCAAGTGAGTGCCCACATCGCCTCCGTTGTTCTCCTTGTAATGGCAACTGCATTTCAGTAGAGCTGCGGTTTTATTTACCCACAATGCCCTTATGGAGTGTCACTCGGTCATTATGGGAAATTTCAAGGGCCACATCCAGTGGTGAGAGGCCACCATGTGGAATGCAGTGGGGGATGATATGGCCGGACCCAGCCACCTGGGGCTGAATGGGGGGTGGGAATGTGCTTTAAAGGGGCAAGGAGCAGGAGAGGAGTTAGCTGTTGTTGAGTGTTGCTGGGGCCCTGAGCTACCAGAGGCAGTCTGAGGACGTGACATGCTCACACAGGGCCAGAAGACCATAAAAGCTGATGGGCTCTGAGTTCAGGTTCCCTTCCCTATATAGTCAAGGCTGTGGTTTTCCCAGTTGCAATGTATGGCTGTGAAGGTTGGACCATAAGGAAGGCTGAGCGTCGAAACTGAGGACTTTGAATTGTGGTGCTGGCGGAGACTCCTGCGAGTCCCTTGGACCGCAAGGCGATCAAACCGGTCAGTCCTAGAGGAGATCAGCCCTGACTGCTCTTTAGAAGGCCAGATCCTGAAGATGAAACTCAAATACTTTGGCCCCCTAATGAGAAGGAAGGACTCCCTGGAGAAGAGCCTGATGCTGGGAATGATTGCTAGCAAAAGGAGAAGGGGACGGCAGAGGATGAGGTGGCTGGATGGAGCCACTGGGGTAGTGGCTGTGAGCTTGGGTGGACTCCGGGGGAAGGTGGAGGACAGGAGGGCCTGGAGGAATGTTGTCCGTGGGGTTGTGATGGGTTGGACATGACTTGGCAACTAACAACAACCCTTCCCTAAAATGAGAAGCCTTGGAAGGTGGCAGATGTACATCCAAACTGCTTCATTCCAACATGTTTACCTCTGCTGCTGCCCTTTAGCCTCTCTCTTATGTTGCAGATCACGTTAATGAGCCCTTAAGTAAAACCGCAGTGAAGATGCCCAGGAATTCAATGGTCCCAGTGCACTCAGTAGCAGGCAAGTGTCGCCCAGCCGGGACTTCATTGGCTTCTAATAGGATCAGCCACTTTCTCCTGCCCCAGCTTGGTAAAAGCATTAACCGAAGAGTGAGTTTAATAGGGAGCAGGCATGACATGAGGGGATGTGGAAGGGGGAGCAAGAAGAAGGGCTGGCTTTCCCAAGAAAAGGAAGTTGCCCCTTATACTAGTTTACCGCCCTTGGGCTGGTCTTCCACCTGCCCCTGGAAGACCTCTGGCCCATCCTAGCTGACATTCCAGGTCTTATCTCTCCATCCCTATTAATCTCTATTAATCTACACAATGGGCCCATGTAGCTTTTTCTCCTTTCTCGACCCTCTTCAAGGAGGTGGTGGAGTCCCAAGCTGGCTTTGCTGCTTGCTCCCCTTCCCCAGTCAAGGAAAGGGAGCATCGAAGCTGACCGTCCACAGCTCCCTGGCTGCCCCAGCTCCTCCCCTCCAAAAACACAGAACCGTCCTGCAGGTGAGGGGAGGCAACCTGGAGAGCTGGAGGCATCCTGCGGGCTGGAGGTCTGGATGGCCAGGCGGAAGTATTTCATTTGTACTGCACCTTTCCATGGGGCGACTGGCTCACATGCCTTCAGATGGCCTCCTGGTGGGATTCTTCATCACACCATTTGGGGCCTGACATTTTATCTCACAGTTTAGGTGAACCCGTCGCCGTCTTTCAGGCACACACCGTGTCGGTGTACGGTCTGAAAACTCCGTCTTCTCCGATGGCCTTTGAGTAGCCACCTGCCTGTGGTTGTTTCCCGGGCCCTGGCCCCGTGCTGCTCCTCTGGCCCGGCTGGATCAAGCCACTGGGCCCATCTGTTCTGGCTCGTGCGCATGATGGCGACTGCCAGCGCGAAGATGGATGGTGCAGCTTGCTGGGCCAGTGCGCGCGCCTAGGAATCAAATTCTCCTTAATGGCCCTCATCTCGCTCATTAAAAGGTGAGTATCTTTCCTGGCCTTTTGGTCCTGGGCTTCACTGGACGCCTAATCCAATCAGCTGGCAACCCTTGTCAGTACATTAACGAAGCAGTGAGTTAACCCCCAAAGGGGATGCTGAAGGATGGGAAAGCGAAGAAAGAAAGGGCTTGTTTTCTAAGCAAGGCGCTGGGCTCACGCGTGCAAGGACATTACTTTTCTCTGCTTCGGAAGCTGCCTCATCAACTTGCGTGTGACCACCTGCTGTGGCAGGTGAGGGTGAGACACGTGCTTCTTAGCATCACTGCGGACTGTGCCAGAGGCCTCGGCTGAAACAAGGCTCCAAATGACCCCCCCACACCCCCCACTACAACATAACCAGGAGCCCTGTGCAGAAGGAAGCAGGGGTTTTTTCCAGCAGGCTTTTGCCATGGACTGGGGGAGCTGCACGGCAGATGCTGGCAAAAGCACTGAAGAGCAGCAGATTGCGGGAGACCTCCTGCTCCTCCCTTCCAGGCTGTGTCACGAGCAATTGTGCAATTGGAACCGCAACTGGCTGCTGCACTTTCATTGATCTTTTCGCGGAGAGAGGCACCTTGGAGCGGCGCGCTCGGCAGAGGAGGCAGGTCCCTGCCCCAGAGAACTAGCAAATTGAATCCAGACATCAGCACAAGGCAGAAGCAGATGAATGGGGATAAGTGCCGTTCCATGTACTTCTGGCTTCGTATTGGCAGGTTGGAAATGAGGGCTGAAGAGCCGAGGTCAAAGGCTTCCTGAAAGAGGCAGGGGGTGGAGTGGCTTTCGAAGGCGGGGAGGCAGAGGCGATGGCAAGAGAAAGGGCTGAGGCATCGGGGGGGGGGCAGCGAGTTAAGCAAAGGGGGAGTAGGAGCAAAGATCACAGGCAAAGGCTTGTTAAGCTGGGACACCATCAATCTCCCCCTCTGTTTTGGGGTGTGTGTGTGTGTGGAGGGAGGTCCATCTGACTCGGTAAGACTTCATTCATGCAACACACCAATTACACGCAATTACATACCTAAAGACATGCACAAGTGCTTCAAGTGGAGGGTTGCATTTTCCACAGAGGGAGGCAGGCCCCGGTTAGGTTCCGGACATCCCCACTGGGCCGGCTCGTGGTGCAGGGAGCGCTTTTTCTTTCTGGTTCATGCGCCCAAGTGCCAAATGTGGTGAAGCTCAGCTGGGTGAAGCACCGAGAGAAAAGGGCACACGGCCCCCCTGGGCCTGAACCTCAGCTAGAGGCTGCCAGCCTTCTCCGCTAGCCTTTCAAGGTAAGCCTGCTCATGTTTAACCAACCAAAACTCCCCTCTAATCTACTCTGCTGTTTTTCTCCCCGCTAGGCAAGCTGAAGTGCTACTGGTCAAGAAGGGCACTGCACGTTGTGCCTTTCAAAGCCAGGTCCACGCCCCCAAATCCCAAGGCGAGGGCATGGCGTTTGGGCAAAGGTGAGGGCTTTGGGTCCAAGTCATAGATGCCATCATAGCCGTTAGCCTCTCTGGGAAGGGGATGCCTCCTGGTTGAAATCAGCCATGGGTTACCCAGCAATACAGACATCATTTGCGATTTGACCTGCATCCAATTAATCATCTTCCCACCAGCCACTCTTTTGTTTCAGTATTGGGAGGGGGCAGGCCCCCTTCCCCCACCCCCATTTCAAGCTACATGTAATTATTCTTCAGGGGCACGTCTCCCTCGTTTGGATGATGTAGCTACAACCTCTTAAAATGCATTGCACTTTTGCAATCTAATCTTGAATACATCCAAGAGAAAATTGAGCCGTGCTGTCAATCTCTCCTTCCCCCCTGCCGGAATCTGTACTCCTCCACTCCTTGAAAGTTTAAATTGTGCCCTTTGGGGGGAAGGAATTGGGCTGTGCTGATTTTTTAAAAAAAGCATGCAGATGCAGCAAAGAAAAAAGGTTTGCTGATTGTGTTTCTGCTTGTCATACTGCTGTCAAAAGCACCAGCGTGCTACCAGATAGAAGAAAACATCTGGCTACATTAGCTACAGAAATCGACTCCATCCCACTTGCTGCTGCAGCCAAAGTTCTTCCTCTGCAACATTCTGCCCTAAATCGCAGCCTAGATCTGTCTCAGCACCCAGTCTGCCACTTAGCATCTCCGCTCTCTTTTTGCGGTTGGAAGATACTGAATTTCACGGTAGCTATCAAATTTCAGCTGCTCATAAGGCTGTACTGCATGCATTAAACCCCACATTAACTTTTACAGATCTTTACACAAACAGCTTCCCACAGGGAAGGCGGCCACCCGTCCTCTTGTTTTCTGTCCTCCCCCCACCCCACTAAAATCCACCCTCGTCAGTTTTAGCGTGCAGCTTAGGAAAATGGAGCTCTCTGAAAAAATTACGGCGAGGGAGAGCTGGAATCGCCTGAAGGGCTTGGGGATGTGCGCAACTCGAACAGAGCAAAAGGCGGAGCGAGGCATCACTCTGGAAACTGGAGAAGGCCTCAACTTACTTTCTCATACCAGCAAAGGCAGAGCATGTGTCCTCGTGTGTCTCCAGGGCAGGCAGAAAATCAGTGGGTGAAGCTAGCTTGCTTCCTTCTTTGCTCCTCAATATGGAGGGAGGCTGTCCCTGAAGAATTTCTTCCCGTCACACTGAAGGATCACACAGGCCCTGCCAGTGTTACCCGTGAATAGTGCGCTGAGTATCTTTTAGCAGAGAAAGATGATTCAAGCATTTTTATGAAGGTGGGACAAATCGCCCACAGGAGACTCGCTCCCATTCCAAATCCGTAGCGGAGGAAGGAGAGAAAGAGGGAGAGTGCGCATTCCCCTAGTTCAGGCAGTTAAAAGACTGAGCTATTTCCTTCCCAACCTGCGCTGCACAATAGTTCTATGCACAGCTTTGTCTGACTAAAGATCCCTGGTGCATCGCGGCATCTATAAAAGTTACTTTGACTACAAAGAGTGGATTGCAAGCCACCTCGTTTGGACCGGGGCAGGAGCAGACTGCGGGCCGGCATCTAACCCTCCGAGTGCCGCGCCACCCTGCCCGTTCTGTGCTCTTATCTGGGATGATGTAGGGCCGCTGGTTTGCATGATGTAGAGACGCTGCCTCTGACATATACATAGACAGAAGGGATGATGGGTTTTTTATTAGGGCTTAATATCCAACAGAGGCCTTTTATGGCTCGAGTTTCTGTAGAAGTGGGGAGCGCTGCTCGGTGCCTGTCGTTGGCTTGGGTTGGTTTATATCCCCCTTGGGTACCATGCAGAATGCTGGTGATAAAAGAAAAAAACCCGATGCCGCACGCTCCAAACAGCCACCGTTGCAAGATTTTGTGATTTTTTATTTTGATGAAAGGAAGTGCCGGATGGGGGGACATTTAAACTGCACACTGCAGAGACAGGCATAATAAACAGTTGCTCCGCCTCTCACCATCACCACTGCGTGCTGGCATGCAAATAATAGCAAAGCTCCACCGAAATTCCAGATGTATTGCTGCTTCCTGGCCTTAAAGCTACTGCAAGAACTCGAGCAAAGGGGCGCTTGCATTTTTGCACAGGGCTACAGTGGAAGCTGGACTCTTAAAGGTACAAAATAGGACACGAGAAAACGAATGCTTTACGTTTCCAAACGGAGCACGAGAGCAGGTGGTTCCCCTCCAGGCCCTCTCCCACTATCCACAAAGGCCACTCATTATGTTTTCATTATACTTAAGGCACTCTATACCATCTTCTTCCTCTTCGTTTTATCCTCACAACGCTCCTGTGAGGTAGGCTAGGCTGAGAGCTACTGCCTGGCCTGAAGTCACCAGCAAGCTTCAAGGCCAAGTAGGGACTAGACCCTTGCTCTCCCGAGCCCTAGTCCAACACTCTAACCAAATGGCACACTGGCTTTCATTTACACCTGGGTGTAGGGGTTGTGACACTCCAAAATTCTGCCCTAAAATTCGAGGCCAGTAGTCCCTCTGGCCAGTAGTCCATACAATATTAATTCCCCCAGACCTGGTTTGTTTGCTCTTCATTTGCTTCACAAGGAATTTAGAGTAAGGAGGTTAAGCCTCAGTGGAAACTTTTGAGTAATATTCTTTGGTATATGAAAGGAAATTGGGCAGCGACAAAAGAGAAGCGGGGAAAATTGGGAACAAGTTATAGTGTGCAAAGGCTGGAACGGTAATTTTTTTAAAAAACATCCTGCAAAGCATACAGTTGAGTGCAGGCTCTGTGACTTATTCTCATTAATTTACAATAAGTAGAAATACCTGAAAAAGAAGCCTTGATCCAAGAAGAAAAGGGCTAAGTCTTGCCAGGACAGACTGAGATCAAAGACCAGCCCTAAGCAAACGTTACCCTCCTGCCCTCCTAAAGAGAAGCAGAGAATTGCAGGCAAGTGGCAACTCGCCCCCAACAGGGGAGGGGGGTTCCAACATCACTGCTGCCCCCCACACTTTTGGTCCCAATTGTGCCACCTCCCCCCTCCTGAAAAAATGAAACAATAGCTCAAACATATACATACAAAAACAGTCACTGTACATTATGACCATCCCATAGTCAGAAGATGCTGCATCTTGAAAGTGACAAAGGCCGGGGGTGCGGGGGAACCAGACTCCCTTCAACCTGGGGAAAAGAGAAGAAAGTCAGCTGGCCGGCAGAGTCTGCAGAGGTGGCCCCAGGCAAGAGCCGCTTCAGCCATGACTTCCCAGGCAGGGTCCCCAGACTTGGTTCTGCAGACCTGGTAGGGCTACAGCTTCCAGCATCCTTGACCACTGGTCATGCTGGCTGGGGATGCTGGGAGTTGTAGGCCAACCATGTCTAGGGATGCTGATCTAAGGTGCCCCGTTTGGGCAGCAAATGAGACCAATCAATTAGAACACTTCCTCATAAAGATGAAAGGATGGAACAGTCCTGCCCCCACTCCTGCTTTTATCTGGATCTTGGTTTTGACACCCACATGGTGGCTTCTGAAAGGAAACAGGGCTATAGCTGTAGGCGGTATCCTTTCTACATTCCAACCATATTTATTATTATTTTTTTTATTATTTTTTCGATTTATATCCTGCCTTTTTCCTACAAAGGGCTCAAAGCAGCTTACATCATTCTCCTCCTCCATCTTATCCCCACAACAGCAACCCTGTGAGGTGGGTTGGGCTGAGAGTCTGTGACTGGCCCAAAGTCACCCAGTTGGCTCCATGGCCGAGTGGGGACTCGAACCCGGATCGCCTGAGTCCCAGTCCTGTGCTCTTAACCACTGCACCACGCTGGCTCTCTTAATATGGCTCAGTGAGCGAGGGGGCCTTGCTGTGGATCCAGAAGTCATGGGTTCAAATCCATGTAGGTGTGGTTGAGACGTTCACAGCCAGGGAGATGGAGTGGCCGGAAAGCTGGACCAGGATCTGGGAGACTGGAGTTCTTCTCTGCAGTCAGAGATTAAGTTCCTGGGGAGACTTTGGGCCAGTCGCTGGCGCTCAGCCTGGCCTACCTCACAGGGGCTGCTGCTATTGTAGGGATGAAATACCGAGGATAATTCAAGCTGCCCAATGATCGCTTTCAGCACAAAAGGCAGGATAAATCTAGATACGCCGTTTCTTTCCTGGATCGGCATTTCCAGTTCTGATGTTTTTCCGAATTTATTCCCTAGAGGCTACCTTACGTCTGTAATGCAGGAGTGGGGAAGTGTTCTGGAGGGCCGTATTCCCTTGGACGTATCCTGTTTGGGCTGGCTGTAGGTGGGCACAGCTTTCCCTCCCTCCTCCTCCTCCTGCTTAGTTCCCGGCAGCCAGAGAAAAGGGGAAGTATTTTCTGGTAATTTCCCATCTACACGCCTGTGTGGCCTTCAGCACTGCCTGCTGCTGCAGGTCACTTGCAAGAGCTTCTCCGAAATAGAACGGTCTTCAGTGGTCAGTGCTCTGCACTAAACTGTCATGGGGGGAGAGTGGGGGGCGTATTTTTGGGATTGCACTGACTGTGGGGTGGCGGGGCACCAGTCTTGGGATAAACAGATCCTTAGGATTTTGGCAGGGGCTGTGCTTGGGTGGAGAAGCCTCTCCGGCGAGGGACAAGTCCAGGCAAGCAGCTCAGGAGCCAGAGTTTAGCCGGCAAATGAAGGGGTGGGGGGAATCCTGCTCAGCTGGCGATGTGGGAGGGGCAGCAGGCTGCAAGCCCCCTCCCATGCTAGGAGGGCCTCTGGAGCCCACATACCAGACCCGCTCACACACCGGCAGGACGCCACGAAGGCAGCCAGCAGGATGCCTGAAGGGGGATCCCTCCGTCCCCTCTCCCAGGGTCCCTGGAGAAGCTGCCCGCCCGATCTCCTGCTTCAGGAGAGTGCAGAAGATCGGGTGGGTGGGTCCCCGGGGCTTCGTGACAGCTTCAGCGCAGCAGGGTTTGGTTTGAACTCGGCTTCCTGTGGGAAGAGGGTGCATGAGCGCAAGCGTTTTCCCACGTGGCCCCTGCTCCGCGCACAGACGGCCCGCTGCGTGTGTCGAAACCAGAAAGGATGTAGGTTCTCCTGTCGCTCTTTTGCTAATGAGTAGCCCCAGGTGGCTTCTTTGAAAACCGGAGAATTTTGCCTCTCTTTTCTATGCTCCTGCCCCAGTGGAGATCTTCCAAAATTCACTATCAATGCAACAAAGGTGTGTGTGTGTGTGTGTGAGAATGACAGACAGAGAGACAGACTGACTGAGTGGGAGGCGGAGAAGGGAACTGTCTACCTGTCCTTGGCTATGAGGGGAGACTGTTTACATCAGGGCAACATCACAGGAAGAACAAATCTCATGCCTCCCCTGGAGCACAGCATTCCAAAGCAGTCCCTTGGAACTGTGCATTAACGTGATGAAATACCAGCCTACCTGGAAATCCTAACCATCCATAGGAGAATTACCCCATTAAGGTCTGACCCTGAGAAAGGAGAAGACTGGAATCTGCGGCTGCGTTACGCCTGCTTTGACCATGTGGAGGAGTATTTATACGGGCATTACATCATCACAGGTTGCTTTTGACCCACAGGAAGATTCCTGCAAAGACTCTCTGGACGCCCCCGCCCCCAGATGTCGAGCTGATTTCTGGATCCCTCACGGAATGCAGAACTAGGGAATCCTCAATAAGGAACCAAGCTTCCTACTCGGAGCTCAGAAACAAGGGGAAGGAAAACCGCAGGCAAAATGGGGAGGGGGTATTCCAGCCTATGCAGTCTTGCCTACCTGTGGTCTCTTAATTACATCACCAGAGGGTGGGTATCCCCCACGACGGAAGGCACAGATTCGAGGCTGCCTTTGTAGATAGGCGTACGCTGGCCAGCCTCTTGCCTGCAGAGATAAAGACAAAGACAAGCACCCCAGTCTGAGTTTCTCCATCACTTGTTCCAATGTGCAAGCTGAAAAGATGGAGATTAGGCGGGCGAGAGGGGGGCATTCTGCACCGAGCGACACACTGTCGAGGGAAATTAGGATGTCATGCTTGCCCGCACATCAGGTGTCGAACATGTGTGAACTAGGCTCTGCTTCACCCATTAAGTGAGCCCGTTCAGGGATGGCCATGGATCAGGAACGATGAGTTGAAACCGGCATCCGTGCCACATGCAGTACAGACTCGTACATTCTCTTTGGTTAAGTAACCCCCACAGGCTACAGGTTTGGGTTGTGGGGTGAGAAGAGGGCCCACAGGCCACCAGGCGGCTCGACCACCCGCCAGCCTCCCAGCCGCAAACGCAACCCACACAGCACTCACTGGGCGGCTTTCTTCTTGGCCGCGGCCGCTCGCCGACGGGGCACCAGGACGGCGAGGACCATGATCAGGAGCAGCAGCAGGACGGCGGGCAGCGCCACGGACAGGGCCAGCATCGGGGTGCTGAGCGACATCAGGGACTCTGCAGCGAGCAGGCGAGATGGAGACGAGGCGTCAGCGACCGAGTGCAGCAAGGCCCCGGCCCTCCAGCCAGACGGGGAGAGCGGCGCACACCTGGCCACCCACACCTCCCTTCGCCTACACAGGCAGCGTCCTCTCCGATTAAGGGAGTGCCTTCTGTGAGCTGTCGCCAGCGGCCCTTAGAAGCTATTTTTCCAAGGCTGCGGGCAGGTCTCAACTCCTCCTGGAGAGCACATGCTCAGGGCTGGCGAAGGACTGCAAAATGTGTTCTGAAGAAAGAGACCTGCGAAATGCCGGCTTAGCTTGAGGGTATCTGGACAACAGGAGCACCAGGGCAGGCTGATTTTCGGTGGTACTGACACTGGCTGATACAGAGTTAAGGTGCTTATAGAGATAAGACTGGGAGATTTGCAAATAACATCCGTAGGTTAAAAAGAAACCCACCCAAAGGCACAGAAAGTCATCGAGAACTCTGAAGAATTCCCGGAATGTTTCGTAGCTTTGGGGACCTAGAACAGGCGGGGACGCCATGGGGAAAATTCTTGCAAGGGCTGAGGGGAGACAATTCACGAAAAACATGGATATAAGAAATGCCTTGCAGCATGGGGTGGGGAACATGTGGCCCTCCTGGTGTTGTTTGACTATGACTCCCAACAGCCCCAGCGAGTATAAGCCATACTCAAGGGTGATGGGAGTTGTAGTCCAACCGGTAAAATTGCATGTTTGAGGCATGCAGGGCGCTTGCACAAAAAAACCCTTTGCAGGTGCTAGGAAAGAGTCCTCACCGAGCGAAAATGAGCGCTCAGGACCATCCACAAGCAGGAGGACTGACTTGCTCTTCACCAGCTGGGCCAAGGTGGGATGCTGAGCCCGGCAAGTGTAGGTCCCGGCTTGTTCCCGGTTCACCTTGCTGAGGTTTAATGTGTTGGATGGCAGAATCCAGTCGTCCCCCTGTTGTGGGAGAGAAGAGCTGTTAAAATTGTATGCATTCCAACAGAGCCATGACTTGGGCCACACTTAAGCCACAACGCTATTTCCTGTGTTAAGGCTTTGGGTCCAAATGAGCCCCCGGAGCAGCAAGAGCTGAAATCTGGGCTGCATGTGACATTTAAAGTGTCTTCAAATTGGGTTTTACCATGGACCACCCTTCCAATGCTGTTCTACCCACTGACCGCAAGCAGGAGTACTTTTACTTCTGGGGCAGTTAAATACTGGCTGTCTCTTTCCCCTTTCTTCTTCCTCCATTGCACACATTCAGAAACACGGTTTAAAAAAGTAATGCACACTGAGAATTCATGGAAGGGGAGCTGGGATATCCCCCAGATAGGTCTTCTTGGCTGCAGGATGTGGACCACGGGGCAAAGTCGCGGGGATTTGTCTCTTCAAGGGGAAGCTGGGAAGCTGCACGTTCAATCTGAAGAGCTGCCGCCTCATGTCTGCTGAGCTGCCAGGGCTGCTCCCCTGCCGTAACTCCTTGCCCCCTCAGCACAAAACATCCGCGACAGGCCTACGTTCACCCTCGGAACTGCATCCCAAGGAGAGACATGTTGGTCATAAACATTCTGGCACCAGAGGTGAAAGACTGAGGGCGGACCTGCCAGTTATAAGGTAAAACAGCCTTTCCAGACCTGTGTTTATTTCACGATGCTAATGCAGGGACCGGGACGGAGAGATACCTGCACAGGCAAATTAGCTAACGGGAAGGGGTGCTCAGCCCTTTCCCAATGGCAGCCAATTTTACCTTGGAAATCCCCCTGCCCTGCCCATTCATTTTAAGCTAATTTTCCTGTCAGGCTGTAAGATGATGTACAAGTCCACTAAGCTTAGGTGAAAATGGCTTTTGCAGGGGGAGGGGAGGGGAGGAAGAAAGCGGCACCGTTTCTTCAGTGTTGCTTCAGCAGCAACCAGTTAGGGAACCAAGAACAGGGACTGGAGGAGAGCACATTGCAGGATAAATCCCTGGCAGGCAAGAGCAGTTTTGCCATGCAAAAAATAGGCAAACATCTAGCACACCCGCCCTGGTGGAAGGTCCCTTCCTGCCTGGTGGGGCCAACAATCTTTTGCCTCCTTTGGGGGTCCTTCTGCTGAGCTCAAGCACAGCCTTACGGTCTTGGGGTCCCTGCTGCAGGAAAGACCCCCCTCCCCATTCCTCTAAAGTTCTCACCTCTCGGGTCCATTCGAAGAGCGGTGTCTGCGAGGAATCTGCTGAACAGAGGAGTTTCACATCCTGGCCCTCCTGCACTCTGATGGTTTTCTCCATGGTCCCACACCAGGAGTTTGCACGAGAGATGTGGACGCCGCGGAGATCTGTGGCCAGAGAGAAAAGGGGATTCATGCCATTCTTAGGCTTCGCTCACAGGTGAGATTCCAAGTCCTGGAGAGCCAACAGGCGCAGCTCTCCCATATTAACAAACGCACGAAGGCTTAGTCCAAGTCGAACTGGTGTGGCTCCTGCCGTCTCCAGCCCCCAAGGCAACTTGGGAATTGGGCGTCTGATGCGGAGGATACGGCAGTTCTCAGAATATCCTGGGAAGGAGGAATGGCAGTGAAACCTGCTGAAGGGTGCCTCACCCTGCTCATTCCCCGTTTTACGGGGGAGCAGATGATGGCATTCCCCATCCGGAACCACATTTCCCGCCCCGCCCCAGCGTTCTCCCAGTGCTGCTTCCATCATTTCGCCCTTCCACTAAAAAGCCTGTTGAGGAAAGGACTAACTGGTAGTGCTAATAACCTCCTATCTGGAAGCACCCCAGAACGAAGGTGGAGCTCAGCTCCTAGCAGAAGCGTTGCACGTTGAAATTACAAGGAAATGCTCCCAGTTCTGGTGAGAGCTGCGATGACCCACCCAGAAGATGCCCAAAGGGCTGATCTTCAACATGACCTCAATCATTCCGAGAGCAGCAGCGTGTGCCAGAAAATAGAGAGCACAGTTAATGAGCTGCTGTAAGAACAGCCATGCTGGGTGAGAACAAAGGCCTGGCTGGGCCAGCATTTCGTGCGCACAACGGCCAAGCGGATGCCTGTGGGAAGCCCACAAATGAACAAGAACACCTTTGCCGCTCGCCTGTGCTGCAGGAGGTCAGGTCTGGCCACCGAGAGTAGCAACTGCCGGTAACCTTAATCCCCACGAATGTGTCCAATTCCCTTTCTAAGCCGCCCACGTTGGTGCCTATCGCAACAGCTCATGGTCGCAAACGCCACTCTTTAACCACGCGCTGTGTGAACAAAACCCCCTTTCATCCGTCCCGACTCTTCCGCCACTTTCTTTCACTGGCTTTGCCACGGGTTTTGGTTTCCAGACAGGAGCAAAGCTACTCCCTACCTACTTTCTGCACAACACGCAACTCTTTCATGTCCCCCTTGCCTTGTCCTAAGCTACAGAGCCCCAAATATTGTAACCTTTTCTCAGAAGCGTTTGCCCCTTCACCCCTTTGGCCGCTCATTCTGCACCTGAACTAGGTCTACAAAGCCCTTTTTGAGGTGCAGAGGCACAGAATCCAAATGTGATTGCACCACCGAATTGTGTAAAGCTATTAGGATATTGCCAGTTTTACTTTCAGCCCCATTCCTAATGATCCCCTACATGGAATTTGCCTTTCTCTTTCATTGGACTACCCCGTTAAACAGTACACCGTAGCAAGTAAATGTACTACACACGCGCTTTCTATCAGCCCTTTGATTCCCTGTTTTGTTATTCTATTCCCTTTGAAACGGCAGCCTCCCCAGCAGATCCATGGATAGATTTATCTTATACTGCCAAGTATGGATGTACGAAAACAGGGAAATCTGGCTCATTTGTGCACGATCAATTTCCTGCCCACTTCCGATTGCAAACGCCGGCAGGAGCAGGCCGAGTTGAGGCATTTTCAAAGATCTCCTTCTCCAAGATGAACCTTGAATTGCACCTTTAAAAAAGCCCAGTCTAATCAAATTTGTGCAAATAGGAACCTGAAAACCATGTCACTGAATTAGTACAGAATTAGCTGATTTGCACAAATCATGGGATAGCCTAGCTGGTGGCCAGGATGCCAATTTGAGTAAACTCCATTTGTATCTTAAAATATGTAAATTATAGTCTGCCTTAAGAGACGCAAGCTGGCTCAACTGCACCACAGCAAAATGGTGGCAGCACAAGAGCTGATGAACCAGAATGCAGGAAGCGTGTGTGTGTGTGTGGGGGGGGGGGGGGTGCAAACTGTGAGAATATGTTAATCCAAATCACAAGCTCCCAGTCCTCATGTACCACTTCCCTACTGCCATCTAGTGGAGGAAAGAAGAAACCCCACATACACTCCATCTTCAGGTCGAGCACATCGGAGACGGAGGCGTTGCTGGTGGCATTGGAACTGGCGCAGCGGTAGGGACCGGAGTGCCAGTACTGCACGTCGTTGATGGCCAACAGGAGGCGCCCGTTGTCGCGGCTCACAGTCACGTCGTAGAACCAGCAGTGCAGCCTGCTGCCTTTGTCCAGAGAGATCCAGCTGTGGAGCCACTGCGGAGGGGAGAAGAAAATGCCTCACATGCTCCACGGCCTTTTGCAAGCCTGCTTCTTCTCTGCCCTGCAAGCAGTCCAGGAATGGGAGTACCAGCCCCTCTGCTCACCCCATAAAGCAGCACGGTTTCAGTGCCCTTCCGTGCTGCTTGTTCAGATGGATGCACTTTGAGAAAAAGCATGGAGCTAGGGTTCAGGCATGCTGGGGTTCTAGAAGACGGGCGGGTGGCAATCCATCAGGGCTGAAGAGAATAATAGTGCTAGAGGCGGCCGCTAGGCCACTGGGTCCAACCCCTGCCCGATACAGGACTGCAAGCTGAAGCATCCGTAACAGACAACTGCCGGACCACATCCTGCATGCCTCCACTGTGGGAATGGCCACACGCTCCCCAGGGAACAGATGCTGCTGCATCCATGCCGTGGCTCCGGGAGGAAAATGAGGCTCCTTTCCTGGCCCAGGCTTTCCGCCACGAGTGCAAGCACCTCCAAGACACGATCCCGGGGCACGTGCTGCAATGCAGCCCTGCGAGCCGTTCCTTTGAAACCTGCCCCACATGAGTCATCCAACTGCGGGGAACTGCCCTGTCCCAAGGTCAGCTGTCTTGCCGCCTTCCGCCTCAACATCCTCACCAAGCCAGGAGTCAAAAGGAAACCTTCGCTGCAGGAAACAAGCTATTGTTTAATTCGGCTTCATCTGGAATCCATCCAGGGTGGCCAACCTCCTTTGCATGCCTGGCCTGAACTGCGTAACTGCCCTGGAGCCTGACTCCGTGGGACACCCCACCCGCCTCTAGAGCCCGCCGGATGTTTTGAGCGACACGTCTCAGCCCTCCTGATCTCTAGCCAAGCTAGCTGGGGCCGATGGGAGCTGAAGTCTCACAACGTCAAGGAGCAACCGTGTTGAGGAAGGCCGCGCCGTGTTGACCTGTAACTTAGGCACCGGGAGCTCCAGCAACAATGGCCCGGAGCTCACCACTGGGTGTCCTGTTGCCGCAATGGGGATCCATCCAGTCCAGCATGTCCACACCGTGACCAGCTGGCTGCCTGTGGCCAAGCCACGTGCAGAGCGCACGGTCAAGCATGCCTTCTTGCCCATGCTCCCCAGCGACCGGTATACATCGGCACATCGCCTCTGCAGTGGCAGGTAACATCCAGCCATCGGGGCGAGGAGTCACGGACAGCCCTGCCCTCTCTAGATTCGCCTAATCCCCTTTTCAAGCCATCGCTACATTTCCTAATGACGGCCGCCATCTGTTCCTGTCCTAGTCGGCCTTGCCCAGTGCTAGGCAGTGGCAAGCTAATATCGCTGCCGCTTTTCTGCACACACATCTGTGCTAAAATAATGGTTGTGCCCTTTCACCTGAAGCTTTGGTAGTCTTAAGATAATCTCCTCACTTTAACTGAGCACAGCATATTGTCCGGCAGGAGTGCACCACACCTCAGAAAGTGCTCCCCGGGTCTCTGTGTCCCCCAAAGCATGTGTGTATCAAGAAATGCTCACAAAATTACCATGTCCCCAAGTTTTTGGAGGGGAAGCCCAGGCATGAGCTTAGCCAGGACAGACTCCCACCAATGTGGCTGGCTGGGGCAGGACAGGAATCTTTGGTGGAAACGTACATTGGATTGCACCCTTAAATGAATTGAATACTAATTCTAATCAGAAGGATAATTGCCACCCAAGTGGTTGCGTGACCTCTGCCTTGACCCAGGTCTTGCTCAAAGCTCAAACTTAAACGGTTTAATAGAACTTTCTGCCAGGCCTTTGCCCAAGGGATTCCAGGGCTCGCAGGAATGGCAAGACGGGAAGGCTCCCTCGCGGATTCCTAATGCAGTTCCCAGGCTTCCCTAGCAAAGGAGCGCGACTGCCAAGATGCCCTCTGTTCCGAGCTGTCCGCCGCCTGCATGACGCACGGCCCTGCCCACTAGGTACGTGCCGGCCGAACGGCAGCGGGCTGCTCCCGTGGAGCAAACAACCCTCACTCGTCCGCCAGGTGGGCGGAGGCCTGCCTGCAGGTAACGCAGCCTCCACCAGCGTCGGCTCTTAGCCATCCAGCCCGCCTGGCACAGCCAGAATGCTGGGAATTGTTTTGAACGGCAACGCCTAGAGGACACGAGGTTGCAGGAAGCGGCAGGGATGGGCAGGCGGACAAGAAGGATCCTTCACTGCCTAACCTTGCTGAATTTCTGGAAGGTGAATTCGCTTAAATCCTCTCCTCCTTCGTCACTCAGGCACTCCAGGGTCACATTGCTGCCCTCCAGAATAGGACCCGCCTGATCATTGAGGCGGATGACGGGCAGCCCTGAAAATTAGAAAGACAGAAAGGTTGGAATGAGGCACCGTCTACCCTGAGCCAGTCCGTCTCCCAACCCTGCACTAGATCAGCCTCAGTAACTTCCTCCTTTGAGAGAAGTGCTGTTTTCATCTTGTTACCCTTCCGTTTTGCGTTTTTAGTGTGCTTGTTACACTTAATCCTACAAATGTTTAGACAGGGAAAAGGATGTTTTTCTGTTTAAACATGCACAGGATTATTTCTGCATTTTCTCAGTGTATCCCATTCTCCAAATCTTCTCCAGATGTGCCACACTACAACTCCCATGCTGGCTGGGGAAGATGGGTACTGCAGTCTTGGTGCATCTGGTGGGTACCAGGCTGAGGACCCTGCCACCAAACCGCACCCGCGGCTTAATTTTAGCAAGTACAGAGGCTCAGAACCTGGTGCATCCGTCTTTGGGTCAACTCTGGGTACATGAAGTATATGCAGAGTGTCTGGGAACTTCCATCCCTCCAACTTCTCCACTGGGCGGCACTGAGCTGTTTAAGTCCTTCTAGCATCAACAACCAGTAAGTATTCTTATAAGAAGGCGTACCTAGCATTTGTAGATGCCATGATCTTCAAAACAAGCCTGTAAGGCAGTTGACTATTAGCCTCTATAATTTTGAAGATGGGGGGGCTGAGGCTTGGAGGGAGCAGCTTGCTTGTCCGTCATGCCAGAAATTAGATCCAAGTGGGGAGTTCCCACAAGGTATTGCTCAGTCACTATGAACTACAGCTGCGGCCAAACAAAGCTATTTTCCTTTCAAATTTTAGGGTCAGTTCTGGGGCAGTAAAACTCTCCCTTATCTTCTTGCACCACACAGAAGCAGGACAAAACCTTGGTGGGGCTGCAAAAGGAGGTTGCCAACTTTTTATTCCAGTCCTGCTCCTGTGCTGTTAGCAAAAACCAGAAATCCAGTACATGCGGAACAAGGGAAACTTTTCCCTGCTATTGACTGCCATGTCTGGAAATTGTTATCCAACAACAACCTGGCCCCAGTTTCAACAGGATGTGGTTTCCGATATTTTTGTCTAACTGCACTTTCCCCAGCCTGACACCCTCCCATTGCGCTGCCCTTTTGGGACGTCTCGTGAGCCGAGGTTGTCCGGGGCAGATGGGCGATGAAATCCAAAACTTCTACGGGCACCAGCTTGGGGAAGGCCACTCGGCGAGGCTCCCACGGCCCCGAGAAGAAAGTTTCCCATCACGTGCCCCACGCTCCTGTTCTGCGCGGCGCGTGGGACTCGGCGAAGCAAAGGCCCCCGGGCTCGCAGCGGCGGCCACCCCAGCGGGAAGGCGGCTTGCCCGCGGGCGCGCCCCCGCAGCCCCCCCCCCAAAAGGAGGCGGCGCTGCAGCGCCAGGTCGCGATCCGACTCACCTGCCCGGGAGAGGCGCAGGGTCACCGCCAGGCCCAGGGCCAGAAGCCAGAGTCTGCCTGGAAACTGCGCCATCGCCGTCCCGCGCGGCTCCTTCCCCCGCTGGTTCTGTCCTGCAAGGGCGGCGGCAGCGGCGGGGGGGAACCCACAAGAGCGGAGTTACGTTAACGGCGCGGTGTCGCAAAGCCGCGCAGAGCCGAGCAGAAGTGCGCCCGGGCGGGAGAGCCGCGCGCCCCGAGCAGCCGCGAGGGGTGGGAGCTGCAGCGCCGCCGCGACCGGAGAGGCCGGTCTGGGCGCCCCGGGCAGGGGCGGGCGGAGGAGTCTGCGGGGAGGGAGCGCCGTCCTGCTCCGCCGCTCCGCCTGGCTGGCCCGCGTCTCTGGCCCGAGCGCGTCCACACGGGCGGGGAGACGTGTGAAGGCGGCCTCCTCGCACTCCCCCGAGGGGCGGGGCTGCATTGTCCCGGCGCCGCGGAGTGGCTGAGCCGGGCGGGACGGGTTCCTTCTTCCCGCTCGCCCCTTGCAAAGGGCAACTTCCCAGGCGGCCCAAGGCTGCCGGGCAAGTCGAGCGCCTCCCCAGCCCCCGAGCCGGCGTCTCGGCTGCCGCCATCCCCGATCGCGCGGCTCTTCTTTGCAGATCGGATTCTGACGGTGGAATCCTAGACACGTGTCTTCAGAAGTCATTCCTGTTGACTTCCGGGAAAGCGAGTAGGAGATCAACAGCGAGCTGCCTCAGTCTGAGGCGCTCTTACCTGTGCTCACGTCAGAACGCACATTTACGCATTTACATCGACGGCAAACAAAAATAGAAACCAGAGTTTTGTGGGACCAGACACATTGCTATGCGCTGGAAAGATTCAGGGTCCGTGGTTGATTTATGTAGATTGTGACTGTGTAGGGCACAAACCTACATAAATTTTGCGCAGGTTAATTTATATCCAAATATGCAAATCTAGGAATAATTACTAGGATTTATTTAAATTCGACAAAAGGCAAAGCCAGCCAATTAAGTTCTCCTCCAAATCGCCTCAATTAAAACACATATTTTCGGTTTGCCTGGTGCCCCAGAAATTCTCAATCAGCAGTTGCTTTGCAATTAGAAGTAATTTGCAATCCAGTGTAGTCTCACCAGTACTTCCTGCTCCCTTCTTCCTAATTCTCCTTTTCCTTTGGGTGGGAAAATTGTCCCCTCTTTGTGCAGTTAAGCTGAAAGCGATACTTTTCATAAAGGGGGGAACAGCCCCCAGAGAAGGGCTCCCCTAAACTTGATACCTCTAGATGGTCCCATGGTGACAGTGTGGTGCAGTGGTTAGTACTGGACTGGGGGCTGGCGGTTTAGCTTCAAGTCCCTACTCAGTCATGATTTTTTCTGTGAGTCTGTTCAAACAAGGTATCCACACTCAGGGGCTGAATGTGGGTTGCTGCCAAACAGTATGTTGTTGAAACGTGGGTATGAACAGCCCTCAGCTCACCATCAAACAAGCCATGGGTTCTCTTTATAAGTTCTTCATGGTTAACAAACCATGATAAGCTTCAGACAACACACATGAATCCACAGATCAACAACCCATGGTTTAATGACAAACCTCTGAGTGTGGGTTATTGTGCTGTCTGAACTCAGCCTGTTTAATCTGGGGCCATTCCCAGTCTTTCTAATCTACAGCACAGGGTTATTGTGAGGGCAAAATGGTGGGCGTGAGAAGCTGTCCTGCATTCCTTTGAGAAAAGCCAAGAAAGAAATGCAAATAACTATTAAATTTTGATACTGCCCAATAGCAGTGGCTCTCTGGCCACTTACCTAAGTTAAAAGAACACACACAAACAAAAGTTAACAAACAACAGAAACACAGCAATTGCCTTTGGATCAGCAGAGATGCATAGCAGCAGTACAGGATAAAAAGTAATATTAAAAAGAAAGTGTTTAAACGCAAGGCAAATAAATAGGGCTTTACTTGGTGCTGACAAGAAAATAAAGTAGGCACCAGACACACCTCATTCCACAGCTGGGGTGCCACAACCAAAAAGGCCCCCCTTTGGAAGGGGCTCCTGGAGAAGGATCCCCAGAGATGACCTTAGGGGCTGGGGAGGTCCATATAGTACCCGGAGGAGGGCTTTCTCTGTGGTGACACCCCATCTGTGGAATGCGCTCCCCAGAGAGGTCTGCCTGGCGCCGTCATTATTTGTTTTTCGGCGCCGGGCTAAGACCTTTTTATTTAAAAAATATGTTAATAATGTTTAATATCTGTAGGTTTTACTTGTGCAGCCAGGGTGTTTCCGGATTTTAACTGTATTTTGTACTATGTTTATTTATTTATGTGACTGTCCCGAGGCTATAAGTGATGGGACGGCATACAAAAACTCTAAATAAATAAATAGGATGAGGCAGTCCTTCAGAGAACCTGGCCTAAGCTGTTTAGGACTTTGAATACTAGCAGTAGCACTTCGAATTGAGTCTGAGCTTGAACTAGCAGTGCAGCAGGGAGACGACTGGTTCATACGTTCTCGTAAGCCAGTCCCCACTGCCAGTCTTGCTGCCCTGTTTTGGATCAGTTGACGTTTCCAGACTGTTTTCAAAGGCAGCCCTGTGTACAGCGCATTGCAGTCATCCAAAAGAAGGATCCTTCGGTGGATCTTAAGAGATGTTAATGGAGCAATATGTTACCGAAGACAGAAAAACTGGCAAAAAAGCACTGGAATTGACAGAGAGAAAGCAGAACAACAGCGGAGGCGAACTTTGATGCGTTCTCTGTGAGGTCTAAGAGGGAAGGCATTTTTCAATGTACTGATGTTAAGATCACATTTCTCCTTGGTGTGGGAATTTCCACTTGGACTTTTGTCTCGGCTTGCTACAGCTGCGACGGTTGCGCAACCTTCTGTAAGCACGCACATTGCCTAAGCCAGTTTTCTTTCTTCCAAGCCTTCAGTTCGGGGAACAAAGTCTAACCAAGCAAAAGCGAAAGTAAAACTGACTCCTGCTTTCTACACTGAAAGCTATTAAGAACAAAGAATCCGGTGGCACCCCAAAGACTAGCAATGTATTATTTATGAAGCGTTCACATTTTTAAGGAGCGGCAAAACCGTTTGTTGTTGCTACTCGAACAGACTAGCATAAAAATTACAAGGGTTAACTTTTTCTTCTTCTGGCAGGATTCCTTTTTCCTCTTATTCTTCACTTTTTTTTTAAGTTCAACAACAAGCATATTCAGGTGCCTGTTGGGTTCAGTCATGCAGGAATGCTTCACCTGTGGAATTCCTGCCAGGGGAAAAGGGGAGTGGCTGCCTGCAGAAGCTAACTCAGTCCTGAACTGCTTCCTCATACTGGAGATGGGCCCAAACAGCCGTAACACAGACGATGGGTCAGCCATCCACTCTAGCCTAGGCATCCCCAACGTGGTACCCTCCAGATAAGTTGATTGGGGGATGCTGGGAGTTGTGATACACGGAAGGGGCTGGGTTGAGGAAGTTTGCACTAAAGGCCTGGAGTTTTCCTCAGGAGCAAATGTTCACGTGTTTATCTTACGGAATGCTCTCTCCCGCCTTTGGCACACCAGGCGAAAGGAGGCCCTTGAGACCTGAAAGTCCCACAGGATTGGTACTTTTGTTGTAAACACAAAACCGACAATCAGTTTAAGGTCCCTTGTGTGTGTGTGTGGGGGGGGGGGGGGGCTATATTTGCACTGAATAGTTCAGCATCAGACTGTGAACAGAACAGGGACAGTGCTGGCATCCTATTCCTTTATATATCCCAGAATTCCCCCCCACACCCTTCTTCCAGATGCTGTGCCCTCTTTTCGCATGCAGCAAAATCTGCTCTTGCTTACTCCTTGCCCTGCTTTGCTTGCAAACCCTGTGGGAAGGACTCACTGCTCCTGTATTTATCTGTTAGATTTCTATCCCACATTTGCCTGTTTTTAAACAACTCAAAGCAGCGTATATCATTCTTCTCCCCCTGCTCTTAATCTTATCCCCACAACAACCCTGTGAGGTAGGTTGGTTCAAGAGGCTGTGACAGGCCCAGAGTCACCCAGTTGGCTCCATGGCTGAGCAGGGACTTAGAACCCAGATCACCTGAGTCCCAGTCCTGCACTCTTAACCACCACACCACATAATACTTTAAAAATATTAAGTCACCATAAGACCTCTAGTAAAAATTACAGGATATCTGTGCATCAGAGAGATAACGATGCTGGCAGTACTTGGTAAGATTTTGCCGGCAGGCAGAGCGGCAAAACCTCAGGTTATCCATAGCAACTTCATCCTGGATTGCTGAAGCAAGCCCTTCTTTGCACAATGCATAGACGGTTTATAGGATTCGTTGCCGGCCGACAGGGTGATGGCCTCTGTTAAGATGGGGATTAGACAAATCCATGGAGGAGGAAAGAACCATCAGACTCTCTTTCCCAGGATGACTGGAAGGGATTGCTCCGTTCACGGAGATGTGCCACTGGAAAGCAGTGAAAGGTGACTGCTGTCAGCGGAAGCCACGGCTTTGTGGAGGCTGCGGGAAGTGGGATGCTGGGTTTATTTTCATGTGGCCAGCAAAGTACTGGCCAGCTGGCTTTTAAAATACTAGGATGCAGCCAACTGGGGAGCCTGTGAGCAGGAAATGCAAGGAAAGGGGCTGGGCCGCAGGAGTCCCCAGCCTTCCCGAGCCAGTGGGCGCACATTTGGCGTTTCTGAACAAGGGTTGTGGGCATCTCATAAAATCTCTGCCATGGGGGCCAGGGCTGATCACAAAAGGCCCAATTCCCAGAAGACAGACCTGAGCAGGGCTTTTTTTTGTCATAGAATGCACCGGAACAGCGTTCCGGCACCTTTTTTTTCAATGGATTTTACTAAGTGATTTTGAATCCCGGTCAGTGTAGCAGGTCAGCAGCAAACATCATTAACATAGTGCTGATTAACATAGTACTGATTAACATAGTGCAGATTAACATCATTAACATAGTGCTGATAGTGAGATAGTGAGGGCTGCTCAGCCCACTGCTTGGTTTGGGATTGGTGTGTGTGGTCGCGCACTGCTTACTGCTGGCGGATGTTTATATGTGTGTGTGTTTATGTGTGTGTGACCTGAGTTCCGGCACCTTTTTTTTTTTTTTTTTTTTTTTAACAAAAAAGGCACTGAACCTAAGTACAAGGCTAAGTCTGATCTCCAAACCACCAAAGCATTCTTTGGAATCCAAATAAAGGTGGCGCTGGAGGAAGGCACTTTGCCTGGCGGGATGCCAGCCTCCGAGTTAAAACACACTGATGAAAAAACCTTTGAAGAGACAAAAATGCAGAATGGGGAGGGTCCTGGCGGGTGCCAAGGCTGAACCACA